ACTGCCTTTCAACACATCATTCTTAACCTTTACCTTGCATTTAGGGCATCTTTTGCTTTTTAGGAGTCAAGTTTCACAAACTTAAATGTGAACAAACACTCAGCAGATCACACAATGATTTAAACACAAATGAAAACATGGGACTAACCTTTTCTATAGCAACTGAGTTGTATAATGCAAGTGCAGTAATTTTTTTTTTTTGGCAGTGGGGGGGGGGGGTCAGTTGTGGGACTTGAACTCTGTCCCTAAACTCTAGGCAAATGCTCTACCACAGCACCACTTATGCTTTTCTGGTGGTTAATTGGAGATAAGAGTCTCATGGACTTTCCTGTCTGAGTTGGCTTTGAACCGTGATCCCCAGATCTCAGCCTCCTGATTAGCTAGGATTACAGGTGTGAGCCACTGGCGCCCTGCTAAGTGCAGGAATTTTTTTTTAATAATTTTTAAGTTTTAAAATTTTACTACCCTTGGTCAAAACTGCATGTAATTAAATCAATGGGTAAGTTAGGCTTACATCAAAGCAAATTGATAAATTTCACATTGGTAATTAGGACAGAAAAGTAAAAACAAAGTGCAATGCTTCTATGACCAGAAACTACCCCCAGGCCTTCTACTGAAAGGTTTTCCCCATAATATCATATTCTGAAATTGGTGTAGGTGATGCTAACAAGACTGGGGGCTAAAAGTACAAGCTGCTATCAAGAACTTTAAAAGTTAGAGATTATTTTTGTCATTAAAGAGAGGTCCCTCCCTGGTAACATTTGTTCTCTAATATACCTGACAGAATTAAAATGCATGAATTTGTAAAAGACATTTAATGAAGCTTTACTATCTTCCCCATCTAATCCCTCAAAGTGGTAAACTCTATACAATCAATATGTTGATTATGTAGATTATTTCCATGATCAACATATTATTGCTTTAATAAGACTACAGAAAATAGAAGTAAAACAATACAAAATACAGCGCTTCTGTGAACAGAAACTAATTAAAGCAATAATAAGTTATAGCTAGGCACCTGTGGCTCACACTTATAACCCTAGCATCTCAGAAGGTTGAGATCTAAGGATCATGGTTTGAATCTAGAACCAGGCAGAAAAGTACATGAGTCTCTTACCTTCAATTAACACCCCAAAAGCCAGAAGTAAAGCTGTAGCTCAAGAGGATGGAGCAATAGCTTTGAGTACAAAAAACTCAGGGACTGCACCTTAAGTTCAAGCCAGCCCAAGGGCCAGCACAAATCAATAAATAAAGCCGTAATAAATTATAGTAGTCATTTAAAATAAGGAAATGCATCTTTACTTTTACTTGTACAAGAGTAATGAGTTTTCACTAATGCAAACAAAAGTGCTTATATACCATATTAGTTACCAACAACCAATATGGCTTGTTATTTGTAAGTCAGACTTTGCTTTTTCTAAAACTGTTAAACTAAATCAGTGTAGTTGTGCTTATTCACTATGCTTATAAATACGCCTATTTCCTATTTCTTTCAGAGATTATACAACTTAAAATTTCATTAGCATCTTTCCACAAAAGGATTTTTTCTCGTAACATGTACTAGGACTCTATCTGGATTCTACTGAGATCCTTTGTAAGAGTTCAAATGTAGTTAATTCTTTCATGTTTACACTATGGTAAAAGCTTTCATGACATTTTATTGGTGCTTTTTCTATCGTTATCTCCCAAATGTATAAAAGCTAGCATAGGGCATATAAATAATACCCCATTTTAAAGCACATGTGCAGACTTTAGTGTATTTAAACGTGAGGTCATCTTTATTCTGTCTTCCCTTAATTATAAAAATACTCATAAGGAGGATTAAAGATGAACTAAACATTTAAAACAAGAACAATTTTTCCACATATGTCTCACAGTGAGGTGAAAGAAGTTATGGTTCATGTTTATGACATATTCATCCACAATCCTAATAAATACAAAGTCACTTTGTAATAACAAACTGATATAGGCCATCACAGTGTTCTCATAATTGACTGTTACCAACCAAATTATTAAAATCATTATCTCATCATCAGTAACAGCTGTTTTGTCATCTGACACTTTTCCAAGAAAACAAACACATGGTAGCATCTCTAGTTCACTCTTTCAATAAGGAATTTGACTTAACAGGCCAGTAAGTCCTTGGATGACAAGTTCTCACTTAATATTTATCTTTGTTTCTCAAAATAGTACATGGCCAAATCTGAAGCTGAACATGAGTGAAGACAGTAGAGAAATAGTCTTATTTTTGCTTTCAGAGTGGCTTGTCATATTGATCGAGCTAATGAAGAAATCTTGATCCAACTCAATTCACCAGTGCTTATGAGCAGGAAAACATGAGCATACCCTGAAGAATTATTTCTTTTTTAACTTACCAGAGGAAGTCCTTTGGCCAACAGTTTCCCCTTCAAAACAGTTACTAACTGAAAGATGTGATCTTCCATTTCTTTGCTAGTAGTTGTATCCCCTACCCTTTGGTCTGTGGCAATGTCCAGTCATCACACAGACCCCTTCACTTTACCATATTACTTATAAACTATGAACACAGTTTTTTCACTTAAGACCTATGAAATCCCCAGTCTTCTCTGTACTCCGGACATTTTTCACTGTCTTCCATTAAAAAAAATTGTATATATAATATATAGTATATTATATATTAAATATATTTTATTATATAATATATAATTGTGTAATAATTATATACCCTTATAATAGGTACCCTTTGTATGTGAGTTCTTACTTTTATTTTCTTTTTTGTTGGTTATAGGGCTTGAACTCAGGGCCTGGGTACTGTCCCTGAGCCTCTTTGTGCTCAAACTAGTGCTCTACCACTCTGAGCTACAGCACCACTTCTGGTTTTTGAGTGATTTATTGGAGATAAGTGCCTCGTGGCACTTCTGCTTGGTCTGGCTCTAAATCATGATCCTCAGATCTTAGTCTCATAAGTAGCTAGGATTACAGGCATGAGCCATTGTGAATTTTCAAATGAAACAGTAAGGTTGATAAATACCATGCTTCAATTAAGGTATTGTCTTAAATTAGACAAAACTCAAACTATAAAATCTCTAGCGATATAGTCTAATGGAGAAATACTGTGCTCAGACTCAGATGGTTTAATCAGAGCTTAAGTCATTGGCTAAGGTTTTGTTGTTGATCTGGGTGATTACATTCTATAATTATATAATTGAGAATTCTTCCTTTTTGGAACTTGTTGCAATCTCTCATTCTTATCCATGCTTGAAGTTTAATGCTTGAAGGTTGTTAATTGTTAACTAACCACAGTTAACTTGGTCAGCCTTTTTTCCTCCATGCTGGAAAGAGAAGCAAGTAGAATTTGCTGCTGCTTTTTCTCAACGTCTAGAGCATGTGTGTGGAGTTCATTGTGCTGCCAAAGTTTCTTTAGTCAATATGCTGTTAACCTCTATGCCACATCTCTTAGGGAGAGGAAGCGAAAACCATCCCTGGTGAATCTGTCACTGAAGAACAATTTACTGATGATGAAGGCAACCTCATCACCAGAAAAGTAATCCTCCTTGAGATTTCATGCTTCTCTTGGCATTTAATTTCCTGCATTAAAAACACCGCTATTTTTTCTGCTAGAGTGTCACCACCTCCTGAAACAGAAACATCTTTGCTTCTTTCTGTTGCTTCCTACAGATCACTCGGAAAGTAATAAGACGAATTGTCCCGCAAGAGAGAAAACAGGATGAAGTGGTAATGGAGAGGGATTGCCAAGGAGAAAGTAAAGCTTGTGCATTCCTAAAAAGCCCTGCTATCAGACTGGCATCTGCAGTGTGGCAGCTTCAGGCCCTTGCTGCTTTTGATGTGCATTTGATCAGGGTCAAAGAAAAAGACTTGCCTTCCTAGCATGCCTGAATGTTTACATATATATATATATCACATAGATAATACTGTCTTCAGGGGTTCACAGAGATCTGTGGATGATATAATGTTCTAGTTGGAAAGACAAAAAGATAAAATAGAAACCTTTACCATTAACAAACTTCTTCTTGGGAGGGCCCAAATCCTACCTTGTGGTTGGCCTTAACTGGGTGTCTTACTGAGACACCTCCATTTGTGTGGAGGACAACACAAAGGATAGGATGTGAACATTAGGATAGCTAAAATTTAATTCACAATCCATACTTCCAAGTGATCACTTTCTCTTGACTGTGTATTCTGAAGGGAAAGCTAAATTCCATCTTCACCTGAGGGGGTTCATACTTTAGGTTTCCCTATTTCCAGTTACACAGCCAAATTCACCTGAGTGGTACCATTCACCCAACAAATTTCAGGTTATCAAAGCATCTAGTTGTTTTTCTTTTCTGTTTCCCTAAAAAAAAAGGAAGCTGAAAATGTCCACGTACTAGATCAGAACATTAGAAAGGCTACTTGTACATTCGTTTAAATAGGGTAAAAAAAAATAGGGTAAGAAAAAAAGACTCACTCTCAGATTAGTGTGTTCCTAGTGCTCTTGTTTTATGCGAAATTAGTGTCTTCTTGAGTCTTGGAATAGGGAGTGTGTGGGTAATTCCACAAACTAAAGAAGACAAATAGTAGACCAGAAAAAGTTCTTTAAGTCAACAGTATTTCCTTGATAACTTAGTTTTTGATTAGAGCTTTACTGAGACATTTCCAGTTCATAAATTACAACTAAATGCTATTTTTTAAGTTGAGATTTGGTGCCTTTTAAGCTTAAGTGATGATTTCTTCTAGCTTAACTCCAGGAAATGGACAAGCTGCCTTTTTTAAAATCACTAATGGTTGAATTGTTGTGAAGTCCAGCCATTGTTATATTCATTTTGATGGTGTGTTCTTGCTTGCTTTGATGCTTATCTGTGTGGGTAAGCCAATTAGATTAGATGCATTGTTGGACATGAAGTGCCAATATGTTTCAAGAACAATTTCACTTACTCTAATCCAGCCTCCAGCAACCAGAATGGAAACTACTTTTAAAATTCTTCCACCACAAAATCTTAATATGCACATTCCTTTTAAAGCAGGGAGAAGTTTATAAGATGAAGACGAAGAAAGAAATCCGGCATGTGGAAAAGAAGAGCCACTCATAACAGTGAATGGTCAGTCAAGGAGCGCACGGTGTGCACATTCCACAAAAACGGGGCTGACGCTTCTGTGAAACCTCTAAATTTCCCTAAATAAGAAATTCAGATCTTCTCTTTTTCCTACAGAGTTCCAGCTTTGAAAACAATCCAATATGAACTTGTTTTCTTTCTGTGATTCTGGATGCAGATATATGCACATTAAAACCTGACTCTAGTTCAGTCTATAAACTCTCTCCTGGAAAATAAGGCAGAAGTTTGAATGCAAATGGTTGCTTGCAGAAGTTAATGTAAATAGTGATTTTCGAATCTCCTGCTGTCTTAAGAGTGAGGTCTCACTATGAAATACAGTAGCCATATGCAATCTAACAGGAAGAGTATTTAACAACAAATAATGCTTATAAATGCACTCGCATTTTCACACAACGGCATCTAAGAATCTATTCTTGATTGAAACACAGCATAAGTTCAGTGACTAAATCTCATAAAATAGCTGTATGTGGTTAAGCACGCCCATTATTCCAGGCCTCAGAAGGTTAAGACAGCATGGACCACAGAGACAGACTATCAGAAAACACAAGTGACTTGGAGAAGGCAATAATGGTTGAGCTGTTAAAAAGGATTTGCAGATGCTAGCTTTGGTGGTAAGAATGGCTAAGCCAAGAGCTATCAACATGACTTGCTTTTTATTAACTGAAAATGGAAAAATTAAGAATGGCTTGAATGTGTCTATAATGAATCTACCTGTCTGTCTCTTTCTCTCTGTCTCTCACACAGGGATCAGCCTCAAATGAAAGCCATGACAAAGATGTACATCAATACTAAGCATGAGTTTGCTGTATTGAATCCATTTATTTAAGCAACTCAAGGCAGTAAATGAAGTGCAAGTAGAGGAGAGTTCAGTCAGCTTTAGTATGCCCAAATAAGCTTGGCAACTTGTGCAATCATATACTCAGATTCAAAGTGGGAAAGAAACACAAAGATCACTTAGGCCAGCTAAACCCTTTTTCTCCAGGAAAGTGTGTCTAATATCTAAGAGTAATGACACAAAGAAATAGCTGTACTTCTAGGGTCCTGTAGAATGTATGCATATAAAAATAGCTTTAGAATTATACACATTCACCTTGTAGAGAAATACCATTCAAAGAAGAAAGGGGTTGAAATACATTCATTTATATGAATGTAAAAGTAACTTCAGCCCAAAGCAAATGTAATATGTCCATTGGAAAGAATAGTCATTTGACTGCAGGCCTAATTTTACCCCTCCAGGGTAGTGTTTGCCTTCCATAAAGGAACTTAGGAAATGAGTTCCAGAATACTACCCAGAACTCCAGAATATTGAATGAATGTTTTGGACAAAAAAATTAGTTTGTGGATATAGTGAATGGTGAATGTTTTATAGTCCTGCTAACAAGCTTTAAAAAAAAAAAAATATATATATATATGTATATGTATATATAACATGGGATGGGAATGTGGTTTAGCAGTAGAGTGCTTGCCTAGCATTTATGAAATCTTGGGTTTGATTCCTCAGTACCACATAAACAGAAAAAGCCAGAGTGGTGCTGTGGCTCAAGTGGTAGAACACTAGCCTTGAGCACAGAGAAGCTCAAGGACAGTGCCCAGGCCCTAAGTTCAAGCTCCACAACCAGCAAAATAATAAAAGAATAATAATTATATATATAATATATATATATATATGTATAAAACAGAACAAGCTAAAGAAATACTACCCAGTTTTATGGAGTTTTAGGTAGCAATATCAAAATTTTTATTATTTACCCTTGTAGAACCAATTGACGTTTGAGCTATGTGAATTCTACCATTTTGTCTTTAATATAGAGTCATGACTAATGTCTTTTTAACCATTTTTGTAAAGTCTATACTGGTTTATAGTTTACAATGTGTGTTCTTTTATTTAAGCCATCAAATAAGTTTGGGAACAGGCCAGGCCAATTTTGGTTGCAGTCTTACAGATAATGACACCAAGGCTCAGAGCAGCCACCTGATGTGGTAAAGTTAGGCTGAATGCAAAATGATTAATGTCATCCAAACTCTAATGTAGTAGGAAGGCAGTAGTAGCAGGAGAAATTATTCCCACATTGTAATCATCTCATATCAAAAAGACTCTTGTATGCCAGACTCTAGGCAAAACATTTACCTGATGGTAATTACCAAGACAGTACTATAAGTTTTCTTTAGATAAAAGGAAACTTAGCTTAAAAGTAAGTGATGTACACAGGGTTCTGCTGAGGGGAAGCAAAAAATTTGAACTCATCTAGGGGCTGGGAAGGTGGCTCAGTGGTAGAGTGCTTGCCTTGCATGCATGAGGCCCTAGGTTCAATTCCTCAGCACAACATAAGCAGAAAAAGCTGGAAGTGGCACTGTGGTTCAAGTGGTAGAGCATTAGCCTTGAGCTGAAGAGCTGAGGGACAGTGCCCAGGCCCAGAGTTCAGGCCTATGACTGACAAAAAAAAAAAAAAATCTAGAGCTTAAGTTCTTTACTATTCAAATAGTATTTGGGGCTGGGAAGATGGCTCAGTGGTAGAGCGCTTGCCTTGCATGCCTGAGGCCCTGGGTTCGATTCCCCAGCACCACATAAGCAAAAAGAAAAAAAGCCAGAAGTGGCGCTGTGGCTCAAGTGGTAGAGTGCTAGCCTAGAGCTGAAGAGCTGAGGGACAGCGCCCAGGCCCAGAGTCCAGGCCCCAAGACTGGACCTAAAAAAAAAAAAAAAAAAAAAAAAAAAAAGTTAAATCAAATAGTATTTGGTAGTTATTAGAAACTCAAAAGCAAATTGTAAATCTGACACATGTACAAAGGCAACCTGCAGTAAATATCTTCCTATTCTATACTCATGCTGCCTTGTCCTCTTCTAAAAGAAAGAAAGTGGGCTGGGAAGGTGGCTCAGTGGTAGAGTATGTGCCTTGCATGCATGAGGCCCTGGGGTCAACTCAGCACCACATAAGCAGAAAAAGCCGGAAGTGGCGCTGTGGCTCAAGTGGTAGAACGTTAGCCTTGATCTGAAGAGCTGAGGGACAATGCCTGGGCCCAGAGTTCAGGCCCCACAACCAACAACAACAAGTCTTCATTTTTAAGATGAAGTTTTCTTATAAAGTGAATTTTACTTCAAGTACTATTAAAAGATTGGATTAGTGAAGGCAAGGGATCAGCCTCAGATGAAAGCCATGACAAAGGTATACATTAATCATGGCTGAATTCCACATTTCCCTTCAGAAAATGCTCATGACCTCACCCATTGCTCAAGAAGTCAATAGCACTGTGAACAGCAGTACTCCTTGCCAGGCCTGCACTTTCTTTGAGGCTGAATGTTTTATTCCATTTTTTTCAAATGTTTTGACCATCTGCCTGGCTCAGCGTGGAAGGGACGAGGTATACAATGGTGAATAAAATCTCCATAGGCACGGCCTTTATACATTTCCCAACTCTATAACCAGGAAGGAAAGGAAATGGTTTAAGCACAGAGAATATAACGCCAGGAACCAATTGAAGTAATGTGAACACATTTAGACTTGGGAACAAAGTTTTCTAAAGTCACAACATATAAATTAAGATCTTATAGATGGCACCAAGTATGAAAACAATGGAGATGAGGACTATAATGGATACAGCATGTTTAAAGGCATTGAGATAGGGAGAGGCCTACTGTACCTGAGGAAAGGGAAGATGAATACACCAGTGTCTTAGAAGATAGGGAAAGTAGGACATGCACAAGGTGATATGAAAAATGTACCATCATTTACAGCCCTGTGGACCAGAAGTAAGGGTTATATTTCATTCCAAGAGGAGTCTGAAGCCTTTGTAGTGTCTTAAGGGAGAACCTCACCTGATCTTTTTTTCCCTTTTCTTCTGTTTTCCACTTCCTCCTCTTGTCTCCTCTATATATACAGTGGATGAGGCAATACAAGTTAAGGTGCCAGTTAGGAAGTCTGTGCTGTGGCCCAACCAAGCCATAAAAATGGCTTGGTTGAGCCAGGATCTGTATCCTAATGTTAGGAACTTGGAAGATTAGTAGCACCTGATGGAGTAGCTTTGGGGTAAAGTGAAGTCTTGAGTCAGGAATGACTTCCAGGTTTGTGTTATAAATAACTGGGTGATATAGAAGGGGAAAAAGAATGGCTTGTGAGAGTCAGGCCATATAAGCCTTGAATTTAAAGCCCTATAGACTCATTGAATTTAGAGCACTCATGAGACATCTAAGTATTTTAGGTAAGTATATAGTTTAAGGAAACATTAGGACTGCACATATTTAAAAAAAAAACAAAACAAACACATGCTAGTAATTGAGACCACTTTGTACAACTACTTATAGATTTTTTCAAGAAAAAAATCATGGTAGCCATTACTAGAGATATGCTTGAACACTACCGATGTCATTAACTAGGAAGAAAATTGAAGAGAACAAAACTGGGGTTTGGAAAGGAGCCCTAAAGAGCACCTATTTTTCCAAAAAGTTTAAAAGCTCTCCTCTGATGTTCCTTCCTTTGTTTTGGCTTTTAGATTCTCCCATCTAAAATTGCCTACATGTTCATTCTCTACTTTTTAGCATATTTGGTTGTATCTCAAAATATTAACCCAGGTTATATAATATCAGCGGGAGAGAGAAACTTTCCTCTTAGAGAATACAGATTAACTGAATATTGTCTATTTATCAGTGGCTATGCACTCTTGCCTTCCTATATCCTATTCAAATAAATTTGTGCAATACCCCATTTAGGCAGTAGAGGGAACTATGTGGTTTAGGAAATTACTCCAAGTCTCTACCACTCATTTGAAAGAAGTCTTGCCTACTATAACTGCACAGCCTACTCCAAGAGGCAAATGTGATCAGAAGTAATAAAAATCAAAAAACAGAACTTTTCCTATCAGATTTGTAACTTCAAATATTTTTTAATCCTGGCTCACTAGCAAAGAAGAGTCTCAGAAAACCCCTTTTGTCTTAGTTGAGAACAAATTATTCTGAATTGGAAACAATTTCTAAGCTACATTTTATTATAGTTACATAGAATTACTGTTTTTGAGAATGTTTTTAATCCCCCTAACTCCTGTAATTAAGACAGGAGAGTGAAAAGGAAGGAAAAGAAGAGGGAAATTGGGTAGAAAGAGAAAGGCAGAATTAGAGCAAATGCTTCTCTCTGCCCATTGTGGGCTGTGGGAAGGCCATCAGAAAGGCTTTCCTCAAGTGCTACTCAGCAACATGGCCCAGATGAGTAAGAGGATACATGGAAGGGTAAATTGGCTTCATTAGGAGAACAGAAACAACCTTGAGACATAAAGAAGGATGAGAGACATGATTTTAAAGACGGAAAGTGTAACTGGTCACAAATTAAGGACCAAGAAAAAAAGTTGGAAGGCGATATGGAATTGCTAAGGGGTACACAGTCTAGATCTTCAAAGTCAGGCTCACAAAACTGGACCAGTCAGATCCACATAGCCTAGTCTGGAATCTTCAGAACTTACGATGTCTGCCTTATCTTTGACCTACTGAACCACAATTCACATTTGAAGGTCACCTCAGGTGACCTGTACACATTACGCTTGGAGATGCACCTCTCTAACACTGACTCTCACATTTTTTTTTTAATAACAGGCTCTATCCCAAGTAATTCTGGAGAAGTCACTATGGGATGTGAGCTGAGACTTTTCTTCTATCTTTTTTTAAATTGGTGTCTATTAATAAAGCATTTTGGCCAACAGATGGCCCTCTTGTACCCATGTTGTTAGGACCCACACGGATTGAGAACAAGAGACTTTTAAAGGGTAATTGACCTCTGCTGTTTTGAAGACAAAATACACCCATTATTACCCAAAACATACCTCATAGTTAACAGCATTTTTTAAAAATTCTACCAACTACTATAGCTAGAAAGGCAACATTTGCTTGTGTTGAGAAGCACTGTGTTTCTTATTGCACAATTCAACCAGGAAAAAGCTGGATTGAGTTTTAGAAGTGTTAAAAATAAAAGTTGACCTGTGTGAACTTACCCAGGGTCATAGTAACCTCAAAAATATATAAATTTACTAAAAATTATAAAACTATATATTTGTAATATTTTAGATGTGGCTTATAAATTGCACAGTAATTAAGGTATAAAGTTTAAATATAGAGGTCCCCATAGGAAATAGGGCTTAACTAGAGAAAATTGCTGAGTATTCTCCCTAAGAAAAAGAGGGAAGACTCCGGTGACATTATCACTGAGCTGTATAAGCAACCTGGTGCCTGGAAGATTAGAGTTCAGTGGTAGAAACAGACGTGTGGAAATCCCGATCTTCCTGGGAATTGCCCACCTTCTGTAATACGATCTGCCCAAATGAGTCACTTTCCTTCTCTAGAAGCCTTGCAGAGTCCTAGGAGGAAGGGACTAGATCATCCAAGAAGGAATGGATACTTTGGTGTTTTTTGGCTCTAAGCTTTAGTGACCTGAGACATGAAGGTCAATTGCACTTTGGAACAAAAAAAAAAAAAGGAAGCCAAACCTCATAGTGAGGAGACAGAAGTCGTCTTATTCTAACTAGCCAATCCACCTAAAAAGAAAGGCACTTGTCTGGGGAAATAAACCACCTCAAGGTGGGTAGAAACACAATTAGGCCCCCACAGAAGCAGAATTGTAAAGGTTCTCTTGGATTTGTTTTAATGGAAATGGTGGGGGGAGGGGGCAGATTGTTTTGTTTCCTAAAACCATTCTTGCCTTAATTTGGGATTTCTGTTAGAGGTCTTCAGCAGGCATTCAAGTTTGTCAGTTTTTCACACTGGTGAAGGAGGAAACACTTAATATTGAAAGAACTTTATTTTAGGAAGGTTCATAGTAAGATTGGTAGTGTACAAAAGTATGAAATGCTCTGCTGAAGGTTGATTTATTTTGACAGATTAAGCTGACTATAATACACTGATGCCTTATACAGACATCATCCAGTAAGACAAGGACATTTTCAGCAGAGAATTAATACAAAAGCTCAAATAAAATTCATTTATTTCATAGACTTCAAGCAAGCAAAGGGACAGTATTAATTACAACAGTAGAAGTTTGCCCTTAATTTTAACTTGCATAAAGAAAAACAATTTCATAGTAATGAAGTTTGTTAGCCTTTTTCAAAGATCAATTGGCTTTTCATACGAGGAGACTTCAGCAATGCTGAGGTGCAGGATCCTAACTCTGTATGCTGTGCACTCATTGCCGGAAAGCCCCACCTGGTCTGTTGGGTGGTGATACTGATGGTCAGCTCTCAGCAAAATCATTTCATAAATGATAAAGACAGGCCCTAAGGACTGCAAAATGGCATGTGAGAGCTTCCAAGACAAAACCAAGCAACTGTCTTTCCAAACCAGTCTCTAAAACCATAAAACAGTAAAGTTTTATGAAGGTCTTGATAAGGTCATGCCTTGCAAGAACATTCCAGAACACCCTAGAACCTGGTCCACTGAGGTATTCAGCAGCGCCAAGATTTCCTGTTGAATAGCAAGGAAGGCTAAGATCTCTGCAGGCAGGGGAGGGAAGAGAGAAAGGGAGAAAAAGAAAACCAAGGTTAAGAAATCCAACTCACTACCTACTGTCTCTCTTTCCACAGGAGCATGTGTACTTACTGCCAGTATTGAAAATTTAACAGAAGAAATATCAGCAGGAAGTAAAATAATTTATGAAGAAGGGGGTGTGTGTTTGCTGCTTCCACACATTAATGGCATGATTTTTTTAATGCAAAAAGAAAAAGAAACCCACTCACCTTTTAATTTAGCATGAGCCAATTTACAGAGCATGGAAATTCACTTTCATTTCCGGGATTGGCGCGTGTGCAATGAGCAATGCAGTGTACATACAAGAAGCCATGCTGTTAACAGTTTCTCTCAAGTAATTTGGTGTCATTTACAAAAAGGAAGAAATTCCTGCCGCCAGAGGGACAGAAGGAGATGAGACGATCAAAATACTGAGAAACACTAAAATTACTGAATCCACAACAGCTCGCCTTATTTTTCTTGGACCCAAACTGTCAGGGTATAAACACTATTTGTTTCTTTTTTTAAAACATCGATAGTTTTGCTGTAAATAACAACACTGTATAAATTCTAACAGAAAAAAAAAATAGAATAAATGTTGATAAGGCACTGCCTCTTAGAACACAAACAGAATATTACAAATGCATTTAACATAATAGGGGCTCAAGTGACTTCACCCTAGAAGAGGAAGGAGGGGACTCTGGGGGTGGGGGGAACTCTTCACTGAGATTCTTGTATATTCGCAATTATAATGTTTGTATATGCAAAACTGCTAGCTTGATTTTAAAAAGAAAAAGCAAATCTTTAAAAAATCTGCTGCAAATTTAAATAATTCCCCAGATGAGGAATTCTGTAGTTCTGTGAAAAAAAAATTTTCTTCAGAATATTAATATTTTGATGCATGTGTATCACCTTATTTTGATTAAATCTTTTTCCAATTTTGCAAACACTACAGTATACTGCAACACAGAAGATTTTATCTGTAAACACAAAGCCCTTCATCTAATATTTGTTGCTATTGCCAATTTTTCAATGAAATGACCTAAAAATTAAAAAAAAAAATCACCTATACAGTAGTTGCTTTCGGGGGTGGGGGGAGGCTGTTAGTGCTTAAAAGGGGGATAATGCTTGCCGCTATAGAGGTGGATGGTGCTCCTAAGAGGCCCCAGTTGGGGGTATTTAAAATGAACTGAACAGAAATCCTTAGCTAGTAGAATGGCAGCTCGCTGTAAAATTATTCCTGTATTGTGTACTGGCTATAAGATGTAGTCACCTTTCAGTAAGCCAATCATTTGTAACCATTCTAGCAGTGTCATATTAGGTTAATAAGGCTGCTACTGTGTTTTCAAGGGCATTTTTATTTGGGTTTTGGGTGAAATTCTTTCCTTTGTTGATTATATTCACATAAAAATCAACCTTCATGGACACATAGATTCTAATGACATATGTATGAAAAACCAGACACTGGATGACCTAGTCAATTATTTAAGCATATAATAAATTGTGTTAAACTCTTCACTGACCTGTGCTCTACAGTGTTCTTGTGTTCTCTGTCGAAAGGCAGCTGAGTTCATCATCTGAGTTCCTGGCCCCACCAATCTACCCACTAGTCCCATTGGTGTCTCTGTAGTTGCTGAAGAGACAGTTCCTAACATTCAATTCTACCCTGAAAACTCCCAGCTTGTATAAGTTTTGTGCATCTTTGGAAGGTGCCAGCATCTGACATCTTATTTTTATCCACATCTGTTTAAGCTGCTCCCCACCCCTACCCCCTGCAAAAATAAGGAAATTGGGGTTCTCATTGCCACTGTGTCAAGTAGTTACAAACCAGCACTCCCAAGAGGACTCCAGCCTGTAATGACTTTTAGCCCCCCCCCCCCCCAAACACTGGTTTGGGGTTTTTTTTAATTGGTATTTGTTGTTAGTGCTTACAAGTTGGGAGCTTTCACAAATTTCTAACTTTTGAAAAGATCTGGCAACAATGAGCCAAGTTGTCCTTGTCCGCTAGCCAGGTGTGTGGTCTTAAAATGTACCATAGTCCCAGCTCCATTTCTTTTCTTTGTGGATCCTGACTAGCCCAGTAGGCACTGGATTTAGAGACCCAATCACTATGTGATTTTAAGTTCTACAGCAGCAGATGTGATGACTTTTTTTTTTTAACTCTTATTCTAGCCCAGAGCCTGGTATAGAAATAGTGATCCTTAGTAATCATTATCATCCTTGAAGTTGGAGTGCCCACTATACATCCTGTCTCTTCTAAGTACATTCCACCTCTTAGCTCATCTTCAAAATCACAAGGATGAAATAAATATTGTCTTTGGCAGTAATCGTCCTCAGATAAAATGAGTGCTTGGAGCCTTTCAGCATTGTCATATTGCCTGTCCATTAAAGATTGCCAAATTGGACAAGTTCATCCCACACTAGATTAAATATCAGTGCAGAAGACAACTATCGAGAACCTATTTTGCCTAAAGAATGGAACTAGACTGCATTTTCAGGGTGTGCCAAAGAAATAAAACACACTTCCACATCTGCACCAAAATTATGACAGGCAAACTGACACCACTGAAAGTTGTGTCTAGCCTCTGTGAAACCACAAAGGCTCACATCTATAATCCTAGCCACTCAGGAAACTGATGTCCAGATGGCTGAAGATTTAAGGCCCATGGGAGAGATTCTATTTCCCACTAACCAGCAAAAACCAGGCTGGAGTTATGGCTCAAGTGATAGAGCACCGGTTGAGTGAGGCCCTGAGTTCAAACTCTGGTACTAGCAAAAAGTAAAAAATGATGGCTCAGAATACAGGTGTTCTAACTTCCCACCTAAGAATTCTGAATTTCTGACTCAGTCCTTAACAGAGGTGGCTACCCTTAATGAGAAAGTTAATGATATGCGCTTGTCTTGGTGTTCAATGGTTTTGTTGATGTGCCTGGAAATCTGACTTTAGAGATAAGTGATGGATAAGCTTCAGATTAAACAGAAGTTCATAAATTTACTCAGGAGTATCATATGCAAATACGATCGGATTTTTTTATGTGTATATATGGATGGGACCAGACAAATGTTCCATGTGCCTAATGGAGTCAACCAGCCAGCTTATGAAAATGTATTTTACGTTTTTCTTTCACATTGCTGTTTAAAAAATGAACTGTGAATGATAAATTCCTGATATTTACTGTTTTTTCTCCATTTTATATTCCTATCTACCAAGCTCTAAGTTTGTTCAATGAAAAGGTATTCTTACTATATTGCCAAATGCCGGCTATACACTGCAGGATGATGTAATCTCTTCTAGAAGGGACCGGCTCCACTCCACACCTAAGCAGCCAGCCTCTTTCCTCTGTAAATAAGGACTGCCATGGCATCCTGATGTTATACCATGTTCATTCCAGTATCATCTCGGGTTCCATAAAGATGGACGTTTCTCTCCAAATAAACAAAGAAAAAAGTTGTGAGCTTGCCTTCATTATTATGGGCACCAGCACAAATCTAGCTATACAACGGGGTATATGGGAAGCCCAGAAGTTTTTACTTTTTCAGAAGAACCCAGCCCTGTGTATCCTGGATGAAACCAGCAATCAAACACAGATGTCTTCATCTGGGTATTAGTAGTCTTGATAGGTTGAAGTGGCCCTAACCTATTAAAAGATGTGTCATTTCCTAATCCTGATAATGCTTCTTTGTCAAACACTGATGACTGAGATTTAAGCTAGACTTTTTAAAAAGTTCTTTTAATAGGAGATTCAAAGGGAAGTGTATCATTTGCCTGATTAACTATTTAGCAAAACAAAGTATGAGTGGGTCCTGACACACATCTTTGGTCATAAGTCTTTTAGCTCTCCCTTTCATAGAACTAAAAGCTATAGTTCCAAACAGAAAATGAAATGTAGCTCATTTGCTGACAGCTGTGTACCAGTATGTGAACACTTTGGGGAGACATTCTTGATCCATTGGTGCTTCCTGAATTAGGACTGAAGTTCCCTAGGGATGTACTTAGACCCCACCCCCACCCCACCAATGCCAGGGGAGTTCCATAGCAGAATGGAGACAAATATGCACAGAGGAATCCAAAGGCAGTGAGAAGCACTGTGCTGTGGCAGAAGCAAAGAACTTCCAGGGTCTTTCTTCTAGAAATGTATTTTTCTCTTCTGCCATCTAACTCAAGCAATGGCATAATTCTGATAGCAGGATGGGATGCTGACATGCCAACTATTCAGAAGACTTCTGTGTGCTACTCCATCAGTTCCTCACACTAGAATCTAGCACAGGCCTGGCAGCCTGGACATTATTTTGTTCTCTGCAAATGTCCACAGCAAGGTGGCAAGAAATAGTATTGGGAAATACCACAGTGGTGTACGATTGTCTTCACAGGCTCAACCAAATTGGAAATAAAAGAAATGCATATCTCTTGATCCCTGTAACATTCACCAAGGACTAACTTGTGTCACCATCTTCCACTGTCTTGCTAGTTATATGATCCCCTCGTCTGCCAAAAATTCTAGATAATTGGGTTGGAGTGTACTGATTCCTTATGACCAACAACTCCAGCTTACATGGACAATCTTACATGGCCATAAGCTATAGCTGTCATCCCGATCAGTGACCAACTGAGAAGCCTCTATCTTGAATCCTCCTCTCATAATGTCAGATGCCTCCACCTTGGCATTGCTAAGTGCTTGCTGGGTTGCTAAGGACCAGAGGGGCCAGAAATTATATCCTAGAGTCACTTGGGCCATCTCTGAAAGAGCTGTTTTGTTTGGATCATAGAAAATTTGTTAGCAATGATGAGCAATGTTTTAAACAAATCAGATTTACTACATGAAAATTTGGATTTTGAGTTTCCCATAAAATCTGAATATATAACAATACCATTTCTGCTTTTGCCTGTGCTGGTATTGAGGCTTGAATTTAGGGCCAGGACACTCTCCCTCCCTAAGCTTTTTGCTCTAGTATGATATTCTACCACTTGAGCCACATCTCCGCTTTTTTGAGATGTTGCTGGGTAATTGAAGATTCTCATGGACTTTTCCACCCAGGCTGGCTTGGAACCATGATCCTTAGATCTCAGCCTTCTGAGTAATGAGGATTACAGACATGAGCTACCAATACCCAGCTGAAATTCCTACCTAATATGAAGCTGTATATGCCCCTTTGGCACACAGGTATGTGCTTTATGTGATCTTGCTCTCCTTTCCTTATTCCCTCTAACTCTACTTTTTAAAATTCATTTATATTCTCAGTCTCTGATATGTTGAAGAAAAGGGAAGACATCAAATTGATACCATCCTGCTTAATTTTTTTTGACAAGCCAAGCATCTGCCTTGTTCTTTTTCTCCCTCCCTCCTTCTCTCCCTCTCTTTTTCCCCCCAGCCCCAGAGCTTGAACTCAGGGCCTGGGTGCTATCCCGGAGCTGCTTTTGCTCAAGGCTAGGTGCTCTACTACTTGAGCCACAGTTCCACTTCTGACTTTTTTGGGTAGTTTATTGGAGATAAAAGTATCTCGGCTTTCCTGTCTGGGCTGACTTTGAACCACAATCCTCAGATCTTAGCCTCCTGAATAGGAAGATAACAGGCTTGAGCCACTGGGGCCTGGCTTCCTGTCCCTCTTTCAATGGCAGTAGCGGGATGGAATAAAGGAGCAAGGAACTGAGAAGGATGGATCATTTGGCCTTCCAATCCCATTCATTCCTCCATTTGATTCCCCAGCATGTTTGGTGTCTTCTATTGTTCAAATACTTCCTTTGGCATAGGATACATCAGCCCATTGCCCACTTGTAAACTGGAGGGGAACGCTAGTGCTCACTCCAGAACCCTACATCTCAGGCTTCTTAGGAGACAAAACTCCAGCATGATTCGTGGAAACAAAGCCACTGCTTACTGACATAAAACACTTACTGAGCCTGCTGGAGAACTGGGGAGCTTGAGGCAGTGTGGGATGGAGAGGAGCCACTGCGTAGCCGCCCTGTGTGGCTAATGCACTTCCATGCTGGATTTGCTCAGTAGTACAAAGTAGAACTGAAAAAAAAAAGTTCAAAAGAATGCTTTCCACTACTTCTGAAGTATTTAACAAGAATCAAGTTCATCTGACTTCCTGAGATTCTGGATTGAGGTGAAAGCAGTTGAAACTTTGAACTCATGTGCAATGGTCTTCCTTAAATCCCACATGATTTGACTTCTTCACAGAGCCTTCCATGCAGATCCGAAGGAACTCTGGCAACTCAGATAAGCCAAATTAATCCTCCCCAATGCAATAATTTTTTTAAAATATTTTTCTTCTTCAAGAATGTGGGCTGTATCTCTCACTGCCCAAGAGCAAAGCTGGGTCCACAGAGGCTACATAATAAATATTCCGCTTCCAATGCCATCATTTGTTTGTTCTCTATGATAAAGCCTCACCAAACTGCAGCTACACTTGCATGCATAGTATGTTTCAATGGCCATTCAGTCTGGGTTCACACTTCATCCACTGGCAGGCAGCACATGTATGCAGTGAATAGTTAATGAAGTCACAGTTAACAT